GAAGGCTATCACTCCATTTTGCAACGCCATGCCATACCCTGTGGACGCCGCTTGATTGGAACCAATTTCCTCCTACAACAGGACAATGACCCAAAGCAGAGCTCCAAATTATGCAATAACTATTTAGGGAAGAAGCAGTCAGCTGGTATTCTGTCTATAATGGAGTGGCCAGCACAGTCACCGGATCTCATGGGAGCAGCTTGACCGTATGGTATGTAAGAAGTGCCCATCAAGGCAATCCAACTTGTGGGAGGTGCTTCAGGATGCATGGGGTGAAATCTCTTCAGATTACCTCAACAAATTGACAACTAGAATGCCAAAGGTCTGCAAGGCTGTAATTGCTGCAAATTGAGGATTATTTGACGAAAGCAAAGTTTGAAGGACACAATTATTATTTCTATTAAAAATCATTATTTCTAACCTTGTCAATGACTACATTTCCTATTCATTTAGCTATATTTCCTATTCAAAATCATTTCATGTATGTTTTCATGGAAAACAAGGACATTTCTAAGTGACCCCAAACTTTTGAACGGTAGTGTATATATTACATAACGTGTTGTTTAAAACATACATATATATTACATAACGTGTTGTTTAAAACATACATATATATTACATAACGTGTTGTTTAAAACATACATATATATTACATAACTTGTTTTTTTGCGACCCAACAGCAGCTTTTGATTGTGCTTGTGAGACGATCAATCTTGTAATAAGCATTCTATTTCATAGGCCTAATATATATTGTAATTGTTGACAACCCTCAATAGTAGCTTTTGGATGTGCTGTGTATGTTGAGGTGGTTGTGGTAGGAGATCTCAGGAGACCTATCATATGCCCTTATGTCTAATAGAATTGGTAGTCCCTGAATCGTCTTAAGTCATTTATATTCATTGTATTGGTGGGTTTGAGTAGAATCCACACCAGAGCATTGTCCTCTGGTGCTCAACGTGTCCCTTCTCCACTTGTTAATGACATAACGTGCGTTTTACAGTGGGCATTAATTGGTCACCGATGAAGACAGAAGCGGTCTCTCTGTTGTTTGTTTTATAGCGGGAGAGCTGCTTCGTGCTGGAGCCACCCAAATTATTTGAAGCTTGGTACCACACTGATTTATCCTTGTAATGTAGCGCTGGAAAGCTCAGAACGAGCAATAAATCTCTCCTCGTAAAATGTAATATATAACATTGATCGGTAGCTGTGATACTCTGCTGCTTTCCAGCCCAGGCCAACAGTATGCTATGAATGATTATCTACGCCGCTGCAGTCAATCTTTAAAAGCTTTAGCATTTCTCACTAATGGACACCTTTTCACTTAGTAAGGGAATGAGTACTTCATAATCCCGTTAGTTTGAAGTTTCTCAACAGAAAGGCATTTAGCGACAAATCCCTGAAGAGGACCTGTCTAGTTCGACAGAATCTGTTAATTTCATATCTCAGATCAGACATTGACGTTGATCTATGCACTGTTTGGATCCAGGCTGGTTGTTTGAGCAGCCTAACCTTGGATCTTGCTCTTCTCTTAATGGCTGCAGTATTGAGAATCTCCTCTCTGACTCTGTATCGTGGCAATGTTCCTCCTGTTAGTGTTCCGGCAATCTGCTTTGGCACAGTCAAGGTCCTATTTCTCTCTCTCTCTTTGTGTGTGTGTGTAATTGAGGCTTCGCACCAGGGGCTGTGTCAATCACAGCTCATTTTTAATCAGATGTTGTCAATCTCACCCCAGTGAAACAGAAACAACACTTTAAGACAGCTGTCATACTGATCTGCTTTTCAGACTGCTGAGATCTAGGATGCATCCCAAATGGCACCCTATTCCCTATATAGTGCACTACATTTTACCAGAGTCCTATGGGCCCTAAAGAGAATGGGGTGCCATTTGGGATGCAGCCTAATGAATTATTCACATGCTCCCTTGCTGTGCAACATGCAGGTGATTGAACTCACTCATGTGGTGAACACACTTGAACTTCCCCTACTTTCATCTTAGTGGGAGAATTTAGACATAAGGAATTAGTCGGCTATTTGTTTCTATTATGAGGGGTTTTAGCCCTTGAGAGATAAATCCCATGTTATCTCTGAAAGTGCAGTAACTTTCCAAATACCAATGTAACTGTGTGTACCATCTGCATCCTCAAATCTGGCACCCTATTCCCTAAATAGTGTGTAGGGAATAGGGTACGATTTAGGACTTAGCCTGACTCATAAACCAAACTAGATCTGGGAACTGACCTCACGATTCGATGTTATCACTATACCAAATACCTCGTACAGCTGCACATTGAGCTGGTACTCCCTGTATATAGCTCCACATTGATCTGGTACTGGTACTCCCTGTATATAGCTCCACATTGATCTGGTACTGGTACTCCCTGTATATAGCTCCACATTGATCTGGTACTGGTACTCCCTGTATATAGCTCCACATTGATCTGGTACTGGTACTCCCTGTATATAGCTCCACATTGATCTGGTACTCCCTGTATATAGCTCCACATTGATCTGGTACTGGTACTCCCTGTATATAACTCCACATTGATCTGGTACTGGTACTCCCTGTATATAGCTCCACATTGATCTGGTACTGGTACTCCCTGTATATAGCTCCACATTGATCTGGTACTCCCTGTATATAGCTCCACATTGATCTGGTACTGGTACTCCCTGTATATAGTTCCACATTGATCTGGTACTGGTACTCCCTGTATATAGCTCCACATTGATCTGGTACTGGTACTCCCTGTATATAGCTCCACATTGATCTGGTACTGGTACTCCCTGTATATAGCTCCACATTGATCTGGTACTGGTACTCCCTGTATATAGCTCCATTCTTGTGTATTTCTTTATAATTTTTAAACTCTGCATCGTTGGGAAAGGGTCGTAAGCAAGCATTTCACTGTAAAGTCTACAATTGTATTCGGCGCATTTTATTTTATTTGATACTTATGTACAAATACTCACGATTCTCACGATTCTACATGTATTGCGATTCTCACAATTCTGTATGTATTGTGATTCTCACGATTCTATATGTATTTTGATTCTATATGTATTGCGATTCTACAGTTGAAGTCGGATGTTTACATACACCTTAGCCAAATACATTTAAACTCAGTTTTTCACAATTCCTGACATTTAATACTAGTAAAAATTCCCTGTCTTAGGTCAGTTAGGATCACCACTTTATGTTAAGAATGTGAAATGTCAGAATAATAGTAGAGAGAGTGATTTATTTCAGCTTTTATTTCTTTCATCACATTCCCAGTGGGTCAGAAGTTTACATACACTCAATTAGTATTTGGTAGCATTGCCTTTAAATTGTTTAACTTAGGTCAAACGTTTTGGGTAGCCTTCCACAAGCTTTCCACAATGAGTTGGGTGAATTTTGGCCCATTCCTCCTGACAGAGCTGGTTTAACTGAGTCAGGTTTGTAGGCCTCCTTGCTCGCACACGCTATTTCAGTTCTGCCCACAAATGTTCTATAGGATTGAGGTCAGGGCTTTGTGATGGCCACTCCAATACCTTGACTTTGTTGTCCTTAAGCCATTTTGCCACAACTTTGGAAGTATGTTTGGGGTCATTGTCCATTTGGAAGACCCATTTGCGACCAAGCTTTAACTTCCTGACTGATGTCTTGAGATGTTGCTTCAATATATCCACATAATTTTCCTTCCTCATGATGCCATCTATTTTGTGAATTGCACCAGTCCCTCCTGCAGCAAAGCACCCCCACAGCATGATGCTGCCACCCCGTGCTTCACAGTTGTGATGGTATTCTTCGGTTTGCAAGCTACCCCCTTTTCCCTCCAAACATAACGATGGTCATTATGGCAAAACAGTTCTATTTTTGTTTCATCAGACCAGAGGACATTTCTCCAAAAAGTACAATCTTTGTTTTACTGTGGATTTAAATACTTTTGTACCTGTTTCCTCCAGCATCTTCACAAGGTCCTTTGCTGTTGTTCTGGGATTGATTTGCACTTTTCGCACCAAAGTACGTTCATCTCTAGGAGACAGAACGTGTCTCCTTCCTGAGCGGTATGACGGCTGCGTGGTCCCATGGTGTTTATACTTGCGTACTATTGTTTGTACAGATGAACGTGGTACCTTCAGGTATTTGGAAATTGCTCCCAAGGATGAACCAGACTTGTGGAGGTCTACAATTTTTTGTCTGAGGTCTTGGCGGATTTCTTTAGATTTTCCCATGTCAAGCAAAGAGGCACTGAGTTTGAAGGTAGGCCTTGAAATACATCCACAGGTGCACCTCCAATTGACTCAAATTATGTCAATTAGCCTATCAGAAGCTTCTAAAGCCATGAGATCATTTTCTGGAATTTTCCAAGCTGTTTAAAGGCACAGTCAACTTAGTGTATGTAAACTTCTGACCCACTGGAATTGTGATACAGTGAATTATAAATGAAATAATCTGTCTGTAAACAATTGTTGGAAAAATTACTTGTGTCATGCACAAAGTAGATGTCTTAACCGACTTGCCAAAACTATAGTTTGTTAACCAGAAATGTGTGGAGTGGTTGAAAAACAAGTTTTAATGACTCCAACCTAAGTGTATGTAAACTTCCGACTTCGACTGTATATGTATTGCGATTTGATGCTGTGATTTTATTGCTATTTGATGTTCCGAACATATTGCTCACCGTATGTCTGCTGCAGAGACAAGAGAGAGCATGAGAAAATGAGTTTTGATTGGTCAGGGAAATAAAAGTGCAGAAAACATGTTGGAGACCAAGCTATAGGATGAAAAATACAGAAGTTTTGGCGCAGGTACAGCCAACTAGCGCTAGCTAACTCTTCTTACAGTAGCGCTATTTTGAGTCAAATGTCGATATAATATCATCCAAAAATAATATTGCGATATGTAACTATACATTTTTTCCCCCATCACTAATCTAAATGATATTATCAATCTATAACTATGTGCCTCTGTGACTGTCCTTTCTGCCTCTGCGCTCATTACAAAATGGGCTGTGACGATGGTGGCACCGGCCATTAAATATTCAGATGGACTGGAGCTTTCTGGTAAAGAGCAAGGCCTGTACACAGGGGACTTCTGCTGTTCTCTCACAACAGCCATTGGGATTTCAAAGGAGGAGCTCAGCTGTGGTTGGCTTGCTGGAAAGTACTCTCCATTTAGTCTGACCTTGCAGCCATCAGCACAGTGTTGGGTGAGACTTCGTGCTAGAAGCCGACGGACGGTGTTAGGTGGCTCTGGGGTAAAGTTTCCCCAATCCGAACCTTAACCATTAGTGGGGAAAATGCAAAACTGACCCAAGATCACCGTCTAGGGGCCACTTCACCCTACACCATTTCAGTGCCTCAGGGACACATGGAGGACATTTGGGCTGATTGGTTTCTCTCTTTTCAGGTTTCGACCGGGGGAAAGAAGATTCCCTGACTCCGAAAGAGGACTCCTCTCACTCCATATCCAAGAGCAAGGTACGGTCCAAAAATACACCCCAAGCTTCCTCTCCTCTCCCAGCTCTTCTCTCATTTCTCTCTTTACAGGACGTACAAGGACAGAAAACATACCCATCCACTCTCTCTGAAGCAGAAACTTTTAAAATCGACTTTCTCTCTATGGCCAAAGTCCCTAACCATTAAAGCTTCATGCTCTACCATTGATTCTATATGAACAAGCAGCAGAAGTTGTAGGAAAGGGGGTCAGGGAGGGTGCTGATGAAACCCCATTTCAGTGTGTAAGACATAGTTCTAATGAGACCAGAGAGTTAGGGAGTTACTGTAAAAGAACAAGCCATGGGTGAGAGCTTCATTCATTATTAATCACATGTACATCAAACACAGAAACCCAACCATTCCAGACCAGGCCTCTCTCAACAGAACGCAATGTTCAATTTCCAATGAGAACTAAGGCCTAGGGTTGCAAAATTCTGGTTACTTTCCCATAAATCCCAGTTTTTCTAGAAATCCTGGTTGGTGGATTTCTTGCTTATTCCCTGCTGATTTCTGGAAAACCTGGGATTCATTTATTTTTTGCCGGACTTTTGCAACTCTAATCAGGCCTCAGCTAAGTTCATACATATCAAGTTGTCTTCTGAGTCACGCCAGTGTTGTCGGGATTGGACTGGGATTTGAATAAAGCCACGTTTTTGTTTAGTTTTTATTATGTTTTTCCAATAATAAAACAGTGACAGCATAAATAGACAGACATACCTATAGACATAAATACAGACAGACGTTATGTAATATATATGTATGTTTTAAACAACACGTTATGTAATATATATGTATGTTTTAAACAACACGTTATGTAATATATATGTTTTAAACAACACGTTATGTAATATATATGTATGTGTTAAACAACACGTTATGTAATATATATGTATGTGTTAAACAACACGTCATGTAATATATATATATGTTTTAAACAACACGTTATGTAATATATATGTATGTTTTAAACAACACGTTATGTAATATATACACTACCGTTCAAAAGTTTGGGGTCACTTAGAAATGTCCTTGTTTTCCATGAAAACACATGAAATGAGTTTGAATAGGAAATATAGCTAAATTAATAGGAAATGTAGTCATTGACAAGGTTAGAAATAATGCTTTTTAATAGAAATAATAATTGTGTCCTTCAAACTTTGCTTTCGTCAAATAATCCTCAATTTGCAGCAATTACAGCCTTGCAGACCTTTGGCATTCTAGTTGTCAATTTGTTGAGGTAATCTGAAGAGATTTCACCCCATGCTTCCTGAAGCACCTCCCACAAGTTGGATTGCCTTGATGGGCACTTCTTATATACCATACGGTCAAGCTGCTCCCACAACAGCTCAATAGGGTTGAGATCCGGTGACTGTGCTGGCCACTCCATTATAGACAGAATACCAGCTGACTGCTTCTTCCCTAAATAGTTCTTGCATAGTTTGGAGCTCTGCTTTGGGTCATTGTCCTGTTGTAGGAGGAAATTGGTTCCAATCAAGCGCCGTCCACAGGGTATGGCATGGCGTTGCAAAATGGAGTGATAGCCTTCCTTCTTCAAGATCCCTTTTACCCTGTACAAATCTCCCACTTTACCACCACCAAAGCACCCCCAGACCATCACATTGCCTCCACCATGCTTGACAGATGGCATCAAGCACTCCTCCAGCATCTTTTCATTTGGTCTGCGTCTCACAAATGTTCTTCTTTGTGATCCGAACACCTCAAACTTCGATTCGTCTGTCCATAACACTTTTTTCCAATCTTCCTCTGTCCAGTGTCTGTGTTTTTAAAAAAAATTTTTGGGTTTTTTTTTTTTTAAAAAAAAAAAGTTTAAAAAAAATTTTAAAATTTTAAAAAAAAAGGGGGAAAAAAAATTTTTTTTTAAAAAAATTTTTAAAAAAATTTTTTTTTTAAAAACCCCAAAAAATTTTAAAAAAAAATTTTTTTTTTAAAAAAATTTTTAAAAAAAATTTTCCCCCGGAAAAAATTTTTTTAAAAAAGAAAAAAAAAAATTTTTTAAAAATTTTTTTAAAAAAAAATTTTTTTAAAAAAAAATTTTTTTTTTTTTTTTTTAAAAAAAAAATTTTTTTGGGAATTTAAAAAAAATTTTTTTTTTTTTTTAAAAAAAAAATTTTTTTTAAAAAAAAAAATTTTTTAAAAAATTTTTTTTTCCAAAACCCCCCCCCCTTTTGGCCCCCTTTGGTTGGGGGGGGGTTTCCCCCTTTTAAAAACCCCCAAATTTTTCCTTTTTTTTAAAAGGCCCCTTTTTTTCCCCCCGGGAAAAATTTTTTAAAAAGGGGGCCCCCCTTTTTGGGGAAAAAAGGGGTTTTTCCCCCCCCAAAAGCCCCAAAAGGGTTTTTTTGGGGTTTTCCCCCAAAAAAAACCCCCCCCCCCCCCCCCCGGGGGGGCCCCCCCAAAATTTTTTTTTTTAAAATTTTTTTTTTTCCCCCCCCTTTTCCCCCCAAAAACCCCCCAAAATTTTTTTTTAAACCCCCGGGGCCCCCTTTTTTTCCCCCCTTTTTTTTTGGTTTTTTTTTTAAAAATTTTTTTTTTTTCCCCCCCTTTTTTTGGGGCCAAAACCCCCCCTTTTTTTAGCTTTTTTTTTTTTTCCCCCTTTTTTTTTTTTTTGGGGGCCTTTCCCCCGGAAAAGGGGGGTTTTTTTTAAATTTCCCCCAAAAAAAAAAGGGATTTTTTTTGGGGGGGGGGCCCCCCCCTTTTTTTTTTTTTGGGGGGGAACCCGGGGTGTTTTTTAAAATGGGGGAAAAATTTTGTTTTTCATTTTTTTTTTTTAAAAAAATTTTTTTTTTTAAAAAATTTGGGTTTTGGGGGGGGGGGGGTTTTTTTTTTTGGGGGGGGTTTTTTTTTCCCCCCCCAAAAATTTTTGGGCCAAAAAAATTTTTTAAAAAAGGTTTTTTTTGGGGTTTTAAAAAACCCTTGTAATTTTTAAAAAAAATTTTTTTGGCCCCCCCAAAATTTATTTGCTAAAAAAAAAATTTTTTTTTTAAAAATTTTTTAAAAAAAAAAAAAAAATTTTTCCCCCTTTTTTTTTTTTTAAAAAAAAAAAACCCTTAAAAAAAATTTTTCCCCCAAAATTTTAAAAGGGTTTTTTAAAAAAAAAAACCAAAAAAAAAAAAAAAAAATTTTTAAAAAATTTAAAAAAATTTTTTTTTGTTTTTTTAAAAAAAAAATTTTTAAAAAAATTTTGGGCCTTTTTTTTTTTTTTTTTTAAAAAAAACCCCAAAAATTTTTATTTTTTTAAAATTTTTTTTTAAAAATCGGGGGGGCCCGGGGTTTTTTGGGGTTTTTTTAAAAGGGCCCCCCCGGGGGGTTTTTAAAAACCCCCAAAAAAAAAAAGGGGTTTTTTTTTTAAAAAATTTTATGGGCCCCCTTTTCCCAAAAAATCCCCCCTTTTTTTTTTTTCGGGGTTTTTTAGTTTAAAACCCCTGCGGGCCCCCCCCCAAAAATTAAAAAAGGGGTTTTTCCCAAATTTTTTTTTTTAAAAAATGCCCCCCTTTTTTTTTCCCCAAAAAAATTTTTTAAAAAACCCCGGGGGGGGCCCCCAAAAAAAAAGGGGGGGGAAAAAATTTTTTTTTCTTTTTTTTAATTTTTTTTTTTAAAAAAAACCCCTTTTCCCTTTCCCCCCCCCCCTTTTAATTTTTTCCCCCCCCCCCCCTTTTTCCCCCCCTTTTTTTAATTTAATTTTTTTAAATCCCCCCCCTTTTTTTTTCCCGGGCCCCCTTTTTAAATCCACCCCCCCCCCCCTTTTTTCCCCCCCCTTTTTTTATCCTTTTTTTTTTCCCCCCCCCTTTTTTTTTCCCCGGGCCCCCCCCCCCCCCCCCCTTTTTTCCCTTTTTTTTTTTTCCCCCCCCCCCCCTTTTTCCCCCCCTTCCCCCCCCTTTTTTTTTCCCCCCCCCGGGTTTTGGGGGGGCCTTTTTCCCCCCCCCCAAAACCCCCAAAAGGGGAAAAAAAAAACCCCCAATGGAAAAGGGTTTTAAAAATTTGGGGGCCCCCCCCCCTTTTTTAAAAGGCCCCGGGTTTTTTTTGGGGGGGAAAGGGGGGTTTTTTCCCCAATTTTTTCCCCGGGGCCCTTTTAAGGGCCCTTTTTTTAAAAACAAAAACCCCTTTTTTTTTTTTTGGGGGGGGGGTTGGGTTTTGTTTCCGGGTTGGGAAAAATTTCCCCTTTTTTTCCCTTTAAAGGGGGGGGTTTTAAAAAAAGGGGGCCCCAAAAAGGGGGGGGGTTTTAAAAATTTTTAAATTTTGAAAATCCCCCTTCTTTTAAAAAAAAAAAAAAGGGGGGAAAAGGTTCCTGGGCCGGGGCCCCCCTTTTAAAAATTCCCCCTTTTCCCCCCCCTTTTCCCCCTTTTTTTTTTTGGGGGCCCCCCCCCCCAAGGGCCCCCCCCCCCAAAACCCCCCCCGGGAAACCCCCCCCGGGGACCCCCCCCCCCCCAAACCCCCCCCCTTTCCCCCCTTTTTTCCCCCCCCCCTTTAAACCCCCCCCCTTTTTCCCCCCCGGGGGGCCCCCCGGGGGGCCCCCGGGGGGTTTTTTTTAAAAATCCCCAAAAAAAAACCCTTTGGGGGGTTTTTGGGGGGGCCCCCGGGGGGGGGAAAAAAAAAAGGGGTTTGGGGGGAAGAAAAAAAAACCCCCGGGGGGTTTTTTGGGGGGGGAAAAAGGCCTTGGGGGGGGGGTTTTTTGGGGGGGAAAAAAATTTTTTTTTCCCCCCCAAACCGGGAAAAAAAAAGGGTTTTTTTTGGGCCCGGTTTTAAAAAAAAAAATTTTTTTTTCCCCCCCGGAAAAAAATTTCATGAGGTTTATGTGTAGCCCCCCCTTTTTGGGGGAAACCCCAAAAATTTTTTGTGGGGGCCCCCGGGGGGAAAAACCCCCTTTTTTTTTTCCCCCGGGTTTTTTTAAAAAAAGGGTTTTTTGGTTTCCCCCAAAAAAAAAAAAAAAAATTTTTTTATGTGTCCCCCCGGGGGGGAAAAAAAACCCCTTTTTTTTTGGGGTTCCCCCCAAGGGGAAAAAAAAATTTTTTTTTTTCCCCCCCAAAAGGGGGAAAAACCCTTAAATTTTTTTTTTTCCCCCCCCGGGGGGGTTTTGGGGAAAACCCTTTGGCATGATGTTTGTGTCCCCCCCCAAAAAAAAAAAATTGTGGGGTTTTTTGGTGTGGCCCTCCCGGTTTCAAAAAAAAAACCCCGGGGGTTTGTGTGTGGCCCCCCCGGGGGCCCCCTTAAATTTTTGGGGGGGGGGAAAAGGGGCCCCTTTGTTTTTTTTTTCCCGGGGCCCGGGGGGGAAAAGGGGGGTTTTTTTTTTGGGGGGCATTGGGGTTTTGTTTTTTGGGGGCCCCCCGGGGGAAAAGGGAAAAATTTTTTTTTTTGGGGCCCCCCCAAAAAAAAACCCCCCTTTTTTTTTTGGGGGGCCCCGGGGCCGGGAAAAAAAAAAAGGGGGGGGGGTTTTTCCCCCCCCCCCTTGTTTTTTTTTGGGGCCCCGGGGAAAAAAAAACCCCCTTGGGGGGGAAAAAATGGGAAACCCCAAACCCCTTTTTTTTTCAGGGGGGGGGAAAATTTCCCCTTTTTGTTTTTTTTAAAAAACCCCCTTTTTAAATTTTCCCCCAAAAAAAAACCCCCCCAAAAAAAAAAACCCCCCCCCCAAACCCCCCCCAAAAAAAATTTTTAAAAAACCCCCAAAAAAAAAATTTTAAATTTTTAAAAATTTTTTTTTTTTTTTTTTTTTTTTTGGGGTTTTTTGGGTTTTGGGGGTCGGGAAAAATTTTGGGGGGGGCCCCTTTTTTGGGCCCAAAAGGGGGGGGGGAAAAAAAGGGGGGGGGGGGGCCCCGGGGCCCCCCCGGGGTTTGGGCCCCAAAAAAAACCCCCTTTTTTAAAACCCCCGGAAAAAATTTTTAAAAGGGGTTTTTTAAAAAAATTTTAAAAAAAAAATTTAAAAAAAAAATTAAAGGGGGGAAAAAAAAAAGGGGTTTTTGGGGGAAAATGTTGGGAAAAGGTTAAGGGGATGGTTTTTGGGGGGGGGGTTTTTTTGGGGAAAAGGGGGCCCTTTTTTTTTGGGGGGGGGGAAAAAATTTTTAAAAATAAAACCCCTTTAAAAAAAACCCCAAAAATTTAAAAAAAAAAGGGAAAAATTAAAAATTTAAAAAAAAGGGTTTTTTTCCAAATTTTTTTTTAATTTAAAAAATTTTGGGGGGAAATTTTTCCCCCAATTTTTTTCCCCCCCAAAAGGGGGGCCTTTTTTTTTTAAAAATTTTAAAAAAAAAAAAAAAAAATTTTTTTAATTTTCACCCCCCTTTTGGGGTTCCCCCCCCTTTTTTTTTTAAAAAAATTTTAAAGGGCCCCAAAAAGGCCCCCAAAAAAAAAACCCCCAAAAAAAATTTTTTTTTTAAAAAAAAAAAAAACCCCCCAAAAAATTTTTTTTTTTTGACTTATTTTCAAAATTTTAATTTATTTTTGAGGGTCCCCCCTTTTTTTCTTGGAAAATGAATGTTATTTTTAACAACCAATAGAGGGGGTTTGGGTTTTTTAGCCCAAAACCCCCCCCCCCCAACCCCCCCCCCCCCCCCCAAAGGTTTCGAAATAGGGGCCCCAAAAAGCGTGGTTTTGGCTTTGGTTTTTTTACAACATGTAAACTATATTTCGTCACAAATGTTTATTGAAAACATAAATTAATTTGTTGCCTCTCAAATACATCGTTGCAGTTGTTGGTTAGCTAGCGAATTTGTGCAATATTAGCATTGACATGAAATCAGTCAAAACACCTCAAAACAAGACATGGTATCAAGTACAAGATTCAACTAGCTGAAACGAGTCACTTACGAGTCCTCACATGGCAGTTTCTTGTCATTGTTGCTAGATATCTGGCCATCCAGAATCACAACAACACAAGGCCTTATATGCCATTGAAGCGTGCGCATTGTTTTCGTGACGTTGTCAGCTAACCCGTAACTCCGCCGTAAATCCAGTGCATATTGAACGTTGAGATTGCTGAAAGGCCAATCTCTTTGTCAATGGCAAGGAGTGGAATGTTAGCTAAAGAGACTGGTACTCAGACTATTCAATTACCACAATATAAAACCTTTGAGTAGCCAGACGTGCTTCAGCCTTCACATCCACATCCTGGTCAAAGTTCATCTGGTTCTTTCATTTCAATTAAATACAATTCAATATTTTATTTGTCCCCCCTTCCTCCCCTGTCAATAAGAATGTTAGCATAATGATGCACACAATTAGCATTGAAATTGTCTAGCTGAAGGTTCTTCACATTTCAAATAATAATTGTTGCATGTTTTACCTGCATTATCAAATTGGGTTAACCTCTGTATGAAATTGTCACAGTGCAAATCTCAGTTAGAGCGACAGCACTTTACGCTGTTTCTTCTACCATGTAAGTCTGTTGTGACAGTATAACGATACCCCCTAAACCAAATTACAAATCCTTTGTAAACTGCAAATTGACTGCAAGAAGCCCAAACAGATATCATATTTGACTAAAACATAATAATTTCAAACCTTGCTTACATTTTTGTATACGATCACATCTCTCTATTATGCGTGGGAATACTTGAGAATAGATTTCCAAAATTAAAATAAATCGGAGCTGATTGCCTGGTGTTTTTGCAGTATTTTATGTCCAACAATGAAAAAAATAATTTTGTCCCAGAAAACTTGGGGGGGCCAAATAAAACCACCCGCGGGCGGCCAGTTGGGGAACCCTGCCCTAAACCCTTTGTCTTGAGTAGGCACGGCACTACAGATGTCACACCCACTTACCACTGTAAAATGGACTATGGGCCCTAGTCAAAAGTAGTGCACTTAAAGGGAATATGGTTCCATTAGGATGCATGCACGCCGTATGAATGCCCCTCCAACCAAACAATAAAAGGATTGTTTAAACAAAAGCACCCTCCCTATTGCAACGGCCAAACTGGACATCAGTGTCATCAATGGGACTTTGCCAACAGGACCCATTATTATACCCTTGGGGAATGGGATGAGTCATGTTCCCGTGGCCCACACCACAGTCACCACACCCCAAAAATCCCAAAAGGGGTTTGGCCCTTGGGGGATACTGTCAGTGCCCTATGGTTGGGGATAATGTTTCAGAGTGGTGTTACCAAAACCCTTTTTTCGGGGGGGCTTTTTCCCTTTTCTCGTTTTCTTCTTTTCCCCTTCCCCCCCTCCTCTCTCCAATTTTCTCTCTCTCTCTCTCTCCCCCCTCTCTCTCTCCTCTCTCTTTTCCCTCTCTTCTCTCTCTCTCTCTCTCTCCTCCTCTCCTCTCTCTCTCTCTTCTCTCTCTCTCTCTCTCTCCCCCCTCTCCTTTTTCTCTTTCTCCTTTCCTCCTTTTGGGGTTTTCCTCAAAAAACCTCCCGGCCCCCTCTCTTCCCGGGCCCCTCGGGTTTTGACTCCCGGGCTTAGGTTTTAGATTTGTCTTCTTTTTCTCCCATTGGTGAATTTTTGTTTTGTCTGCTCGTCGGTCTGTTGTGTGGGGTTTTTTTGGGGGGTTTTCCCCCTTGCAATTTTTTTTGTTTTTCCGGTGGGTTTGGTTTTTTCCCTTTTCCTTCCTTTTCCCTCTTGGGGGGTTTAAAGGGGCGCCAAAAACCCCCTGGTTTTCCCCTCCCCGGCCCGGGGGGTTCTAGGGCTTCCCCCTGGTCTCCGGTCCGGGGCCCCTTTTTCCCAGATCCGGGGGGGGCTGGCACCCCCGGGGGGGCCCCTCTTCTCCCCTCTCCCGGTTTTCAGGGGGTTTCCAAAGGGGATCGGTTTTTCCCCCCCCAAACCCAACCCGGGGCACCAAACCCCTCCTTTCCCTTTTCCCCCTTTTTGGCCCAACCGGTTAAAGCAGGCGGGTTGGTGTTTTATTCCACCTTTTTCCCAAAAATTTTTTACCAAATTTTGGTGTTTAAAAGGAGGGGGGGAATGGGTTTTAGTTTTAAAAACCCGGGGGTTTCTGTTAGTTGTTTGGCCTTTGTTTTTTTGGAAAAGGGGTGCAATGGCCCCGGTTTTCTTTTTCTTTTATGTGGGGTTTTTTATCTGATTTTTTGGCCTTTCCCTTTAAAGTCCTTTACCCTTTAAAGGGGGGGGAGGGGCTGATGGTTGGTTAATTTCCCCCGTTTCTAGGGTTGTGGATGGTTTTCTGGGGCTGGTTTTGAAGGTTTTCTTCCGGGGCCTCCTGAAGGGACGATTGAGTGGGGAAAGGGGGAGCTTCCCCACCCGCCGGGAAAACCCCCCTTTAAAATTTTTAAAGGCCCGTGGAGGGGAAATTTTATCTGTTGAAAAATTGCCCTTGTACTTTTTCCTCCCGCCTCTTTAAAAAAGGCCCCTTCAAAATCCACCCGTTTCCCTTTTCCCCTTTCTGCCCAATTTTCTTTTCGTTTTTTTTATTCCACCCCTCCCAAGGGGTTTAGGCAGGGAGTGTTTTTCAGGAGGGGGACCACTTGGGCAGTCAGAGGGAAAAAAAACCTTGGGATTTTGTTTTCAAAAAAAGGATTTAGTTTGTATTTTGAAACTTTCCCTTTTTTTTTTGTAATTCCTTTTATTTTTAGCAGGCAAATCTTTAATTCAAACCCCCACCTTTCCCAGGCGTTTTTCCGGGACCCGGGGGGAGGGGCCCCCCCTGAACGGGCCTGGGTGTCGACTGGGGGCTGGGGAAAAGGCAGGGGGAAAGGGGGCCTGACCGTTGGCCGGAAAAAGGGGTTTGCCCCGACCCCCCCCGGGCGAACCCCCGGGTTGCCCCCACTGGTTGGCCGGTTTTTCCCCCGAAGGGGGGGAAAGGTTGAGGGGAAAGATTTATGCCTTTTTCCCCTTTTTGCTTGGCTCTTTTGGAGGGGGTTTCCCCAAATTTTAAAAGGATCTGTTGGAAAAGGGGGGGCACCCGTAAAAATTTCCCCGGAAATTTGGAAATCTGGAAAGGGAACCTAAAAAATACCTTTTATTTTTTTAAAATTTGGCAAGAGGGCCCCCCCAATTTCAAAACCGGTTATTGGAGTTAAAAAAGCAAAAATTAAACTTTTATTTTTTTGTTCCCTTTCCCAAAAACCCAAAAAACCCAAAATTTGTTTTTTAAAAGAGGAAAAGTAAGTTTTTTGGCAGAAAGCACAAATAAATTTTTTTGCAAACCAAAACCCCCTTGGAAAAGAAGGGTTTTAAAAAAAGGGGGGGGGGGGTCCTTAACAACCCTTGGTTTTTTTCCCCAAAAGTTTTAAACCCAGGCCCTTAAGGCCCCCCCACCGGTTAAAGAAGTGGAAAACCGGGGGGGTCAGACCAGGTATTCCCAAGGGGGGTGGGGAAAAAGGGAAAAAAAACCCCTTTAACCCTGGGAAGGGAAAAAGTTTCCCCCGGGGGGTTTTCCCCTTCCCCCGAGGGGGAAAAAGGGGGGAAGCCTCCCCTCACAAGACCCCGTCCGTTAAATCAAACCGGGGGAACCCCGGGTTGAAATCTCAAAAAAACTTGTTTTTTTTGACCTCTGGTTTGCTTTTTTTTTTTTCTCCCCTTCCCCTAACCTTTCCCTTTTTTTTTCTAATCTTTTCCCCAACCTTCCTTTAAACCCCTTTTCTTTTTTTAATTTTTTCTCCCAAAATTTTGGGGTTCCCCTTTGGGGAAAAAAACCGGGCCCCCAAAGGGGGGGGGAAAACCCTTAAATCTCAATTAAATAGACAAATTTAAAAACAAGGGACCCCCCCCCCCCCCCCCCCCCTTTTTTCCCTTTCCAAAAATTTTTTTAGGAAAAAAAGCTGCAAAAAACCCCCGCCCGCCCACCCCTGCAGGGGAATAGAAAAAAATTTTCAGTGAAAAGGGAAAAAAAATATTTGATCCCCTGCTGATTTTGTACGTTTGCCCACTGACAAAGAAATGATCAGTCTATAATTTTAATGGTAGGTTTTTTGAACAGTGAGAGACAGAATAACAACAAAACAATCCAGTAAAACGCATGTCAAAAATTGTATAAATTGATTTGCATTTTAATGAGGGAAATAAGTATTTGACCCCCTCTCAATCAGAAATATTTCTGGCTCCCAGGTGTCTTTTATACAGGTAACGAGTTGAGATTAGGAGCACTTAAAGGGAGTGCTCCTAATCTCAGCTTGTTACCAGTATAAAAGACACCTGTCCACAGAAGCAATCAATCAATCAGATTCCAAACTCTCCACCATGGCTAAGATCAAAGAGCTCTCCAAGGATGTCAGGGACAAGATTGTAGACCTACACAAGGCTGGAATGGGCTACAAGACCATCGCCAAGCAGATTGGTGAGAAGGTGACAACAGTTGGTGCGATTATTCGCAAATGGAAGAAACACAAAAGACCTGTCAATCTCCCTCGGCCTGGGGCTCCATGAAAGATCTCACCTCGTGAAATTGCAATGATCATGAGAACGGTGAGGAATCAGCCCAGAACTACACAGGAGGATCTTGTCAATGATCTCAAGGCAGCTGGGACCATAGTCTCCAAGAAAACAATTGGTAACGCACTACGCCGTGAAGGACTGAAATCCTGCAGCGCCCGCAAGGTCCCCCTGCTCAAGAAAGCACATATACAGGCCCGTCTGAAGTTTGCCAGTGAACATCTGAATGATTCAGAGGAGAACTGGGTGAAAGTGTTGTGGTCAGATGAGACCAAAATTGAGCTCTTTGGCATCAACTCAACTCGCCATGTTTGGAGGAGGAGGAATGCTGCCTATAACCCCAAGAACACCATCCCCACCGTCAAACATGGAGGTGGAAACATTATGCTTTGGGGGTGTTTTTCTGCTAAGGGGACAGGACAACTTCACTGCATCAAAGGGACGATGGACGGGACCATGTACCGTCAAATCTTGGGTGAGAACCTCCTTCCCTCAGCCAGGGCATTGAAAATGGGTCGTGGATGGGTATTCCAGCATGACAATAACCCAAAACACACGGCCAAGGCAACAAAGGAGTGGCTCAAGAATAAGTAAATTAAGGTCCTGGAGTGGCAGCATGGTAGTAGTACTTAATCCCATAGAAAATCTGTGGAGGAAGCTCAAGGTTCGAGTTGCCAAACATCAGCCTCGAAACCTTAATGACTTGGAGAAGATCTGCAAAGAGGAGTGGGACAAAATCCCTCCTGAGATGTGTGCAAACCTGGTGGCCAACTACAAGAAACGTCTGACCTCTGTGATTGCCAACAAGGGTTTTGCCACCAAGTACTAAGTCATGTTTTGCAGGGGGGTCAAATACTTATTTCCCTCATTAAAATGCAAATAAATGTATAACATTTTTGACATGCTTTTTTCTGGGTTTTATTTTGTTATTCTATCTCTCACTGTTCAAATAAACCTACCATTAAAATTATAGACTGATCATTTCTTTGTCAGTGGGCTAACGTACAAAATCAGCAGGGGATCAAATACTTTTTTCCTATATCGACATAACCTGAAAGGCCGTTCAGATTGAGTGTATTTAAACTTCTGACCCACTGGGAATGTGATGAAAGAAATAAAAGCTGAAATAAATCATTCTCTCTACTATTATTCTGACATTTCACATTCTTAAAATAAATTGTTGATCCTAACTGACCTAAGACAGGGAATTTTTACTAGGATTAAATGTCAGGAATTGTGAAAAACTGAGTTTAAATGTATTTGTCTGAGGTGTATGTAAACTTCCGACTTCAACTGTACTTTTTTCCCTCACTGTACTCCAATCCTATGTGAATATTTTGCCCTTACATAGCCCATCACCTAGCAACCTCATCAAGCAGTTTTGATCTCTTAGCGCAACAGCTAAGATGTTGGTTTGACAGTCGCTGAAGCGGGTTTGTGACCTGGTTGGGACTACCGCCAGAATTCATTGCAATATGAAAGTGTGTGTGGTGTGTACACCAAACCTTTATGTGTTTGTCCCAGGCTGGTGAGGCGTCCCAGACAGAGACGGTGTCGGAGGAGAATAAGTCTCTGATCTGGACGCTGCTGAAGCAGGTCAGGCCTGGGATGGACCTGTCTAAAGTGGTCCTCCCCACCTTCATCCTGGAGCCACGCTCCTTCCTGGACAAGCTGTCCGACTACTACTACCATGCTGACTTCCTCTCTGAGTAAGTACTACTACCATGATGACTTCCTCTCTTCTGAGTAAGTACTACTACCATGCTGACTTCCTCTCTGAGTAAGTACTACTACCATGCTGACTTCCTCTCTGAGTAAGTACTACTACCATGATGACTTCCTCTCTTCTGAGTAAGTACTACTACCATGCTGACTTCCTCTCTGAGTAAGTACTACTACCATGCTGACTTCCTCTCTGAGTAAGTACTACTACCATGCTGACTTCCTCTCTGAGTAAGTACTACTACCATGCTGACTTCCTCTCTGAGTAAGTACTACTACCATGATGACTTCCTCTCTGAGTAAGTACTACTACCATGATGACTTCCTCTCTTCTGAGTAAGTACTACTACCATGCTGACTTCCTCTCTGAGTAAGTACTACTACCATGATGACTTCCTCTCTGAGTAAGTACTACTACCATGCTGACTTCCTCTCTGAGTAAGTACTACTACCATGCTGACTTCCTCTCTGAGTAAGTACTACTACCATGATGACTTCCTCTCTTCTGAGTAAGTACTACTACCATGATGACTTCCTCTCTTCTGAGTAAGTACTACTACCATGCTGACTTCCTCTCTGAGTAAGTACTACTACCATGCTGACTTCCTCTCTGAGTAAGTACTACTACCATGATGACTTCCTCTCTTCTGAGTAAGTACTAGTACACTGGCTCCGGGGTGAAGGTTCCCCTAGGTACAGATCTAGGATCAGCTTCCCCTCCCCCAACCCTAACCTTAACCATTAGTTTGGAAAATGACAAACTGATCCTAGATCAGTGCTAGGGGCAACTTCACCCTACAACAAGTAGTACACTTACAAAGCCTCCGTTATGAAGTGTACCACTACTTCAGTCTAGTACTATTCTTCTGACTGAGTACTTCTCCAACCAGTTAACAACTAGACCTGGCTGTAATGATGTCATTTTAACTAGTATTGCCTGCTGGGACAGTACTACCAAGCTGACCAATCAAAGATCTTATATAGTAGGACAGTACTACCAAGCTGACCAATCAAAGATCTTATATAGTAGGACAGTACTACCAAGCTGACCAATCAAAGATCTTATATAGTAGGACAGTACTACCAAGCTGACCAATCAAAGATCTTATATAGTAGGACAGTACAGTCAGACCTGCCAAAGATACAGCCAAATATTCAAAGATGTAGCTTTAACTTGATTTAGGTCCTCATTGCGATTTGATGTGTATCATTTCCAGGGCAGCTGTGGAGGAGAATGCCTACAACAGGATGAAGAAAGTGGTGAAGTGGTATATCTCTGGATTCTACAAAAAGCCACAGGTGATTAGAACATTCACTTAAAATCACTGTTTAAGCAGGGTCATGTTCATTAGGAAAGCAGTGGAAAACATTTTGCAACGTAAAAAGAAAATGAATGTTTCTTACTGGATAGGTCCTGGTAGTCTCCCCCCATTTCAGTCCATTTCTTCTGTTAGGTGCCTAATGAACACTACTCTGTTTGACATGTGACAAGATGTCCCTCGGTATCCCTACCATTCAGCAGACGTATCTAAAGCTCTGTTTTTCCTCCTTATGAAAACCAGGGACTGAAGAAGCCGTATAACCCCATCATTGGTGAGACCTACCGCTGCATGTGGCTCCATAGCAAGACCAACAGCAAGACCTTCTACATTTCTGAACAGGTAACGGAGCCAGGAGGGGAGACTGCTCCCTAATAAGTGTTTGTCTGATTGGGATGGGAGGGGAGACTGCTACCTAATAAGTGATTGTCTGATTGGGATGGTAGGGGAGACTGCTACCTAATAAGTGATTGTCTGATTGGGATGGTAGGGGAGACTGCTACCTAATAAGTGATTGTCTGATTGGGATGGGAGGGGAGACTGCTCCCTAACAGGTGTTTGTCTGATTGGGATGGTAGGGGAGACTGCTACCTAATAAGTGATTGTCTGATTGGGATGGGAGGGGAGACTGCTCCCTAATAAGTGTTTGTCTGATTGGGATGGTAGGGGAGACTGCTCCCTAACAGGTGTTTGTCTGATTGGGATGGGAGGGGAGACTGCTCCCTAATAAGTGTTTGTCTGATTGGGATGGGAGGGGAGACTGCTCCCTAATAAGTGATTGTCTGATTGGGATGGTAGGGGAGACTGCTCCCTAATAAGTGATTGTCTGATTGGGATGGTAGGGGAGACTGCTACCTAACTGGTGTTTGTCTGATTGGGATGGTAGGGGAGACTGCTCCCTAATAAGTGATTGTCTGATTGGGATGGTAGGGGAGACTGCTCCCTAATAAGTGATTGTCTGATTGGGATGGTAGGGGAGACTGCTACCTAATAAGTGTTTGTCTGATTGGGATGGGAGGGGAGACTGCTCCCTAATAATTGATTGTCTGATTGGGATGGTAGGGGAGACTGCTACCTAATAAGTGATTGTCTGATTGGGATGGTAGGGGAGACTGCTACCTAATAAGTGATTGTCTGATTGGGATGTTTAATCTGACATTTGAGCAATTGATTCACCTTGTAGGTAGTATGTAAATGATGGATGTGTGGGTGAGTAGATGGATGGATGGATGGACGGGTTGGTGGATGGATGGATGGATCGACGGGTTGGTGGATGGATGGGTGGATGAAAGAAGGAATAAATGTGATAGGTTTTCAGAAGGTCTAGACTCTACAACATGACATGTTCTGGTAGACTGGGTATGATCAGGGTTAGCTTCCAGTACCTGTTCTCCTGACCTCTGACCAATCACCTTCTCTCCCTGTCAGGTGTCCCATCATCCTCCAGTGTCGGCGTTCTACGTCAGTAACAGGAAGGACGGCTTCTGTCTCAGCGGAAGCATCCTGGCCAAGTCCAAGTTCTACGGTAGAACACACACTCCTACACACACACACACACACACACACACACACACACACACACATGCATGCACGCCGACACACACACACACACACACGCACACATACACACACATACACACACCTACCAAACAGCACATGTACAGTGGGGGAAAAAAGTATTTAGTCAGCCACCAATTGTGCAAGTTCTCCCACTTAAAAAGATGAGAGAGGCCTGTAATTTTCATCATAGCTACACGTCAACTATGACAGACAAATTGAGAGAAAAAAAATCCAGAAAATCACATTGTAGGATTTTTAATGAATTTATTTGCAAATTATGGTGGAAAATAAGTATTTGATCACCTACAAACAAGCAAGATTTCTGGCTCTCACAGACCTGTAACTTATTCTTTAAGAGGCTCCTCTGTCCTCCACTCGTTACCTGTATTAATGGCACCTGTTTGAACTTGTTATCAGTATAAAAGTCACCTGTCCACAACCTCAAACAGTCACACTCCAAACTCCACTATGGCCAAGACCAAAGAGCTGTCAAAGGACACCAGAAACAAAATTGTAGACCTGCACCAGGCTGGGAAGACTGAATCTGCAATAGGTAAGCAGCTTGGTTTGAAGAAATCAACTGTGGGAGCAATTATTAGGAAATGGAAGACATACAAGACCACTGATAATCTCCCTCGATCTGGGGCTCCACGCAAGATCTCACCTCGTGGGGTCAAAATGATCACAAGAACGGTGAGCAAAAATCCCAGAACCACACGGGGGGACCTAGTGAATGACCTGCAGAGAGCTGGGACCAAAGTAACAAAGCCTACCATCAGTAACACACTACGCCGCCAGGGACTCAAATCCTGCAGTGCCAGACGTGTCCCCCTGCTTAAGCCAGTACATGTCCAGGCCCGTCTGAAGTTTGCTAGAGTGCATTTGGATGATCCAGAAGAGGATTGGGAGAATGTCATATGGTCAGATGAAACCAAAGTAGAACTTTTTGGTAAAAACTCAACTCGTCGTGTTTGGAGGACAAAGAATGCTGAGTTGCATCCAAAGAACACCATACCTACTGTGAAGCATGGGGGTGGAAACATCATGCTTTAGGGCTGTTTTTCTGCAAAGGGACCAGGACGACTGATCCGTGTAAAGGAAAGAATGAATGGGGCCATGTATCGTGAGATTTTGAGTGAAAACCTCCTTCCATCAGCAAGGGCATTGAAGATGAAACGTGGCTGGGTCTTTCAGCATGACAATGATCCCAAACACACCGCCCGGGCAACGAAGGAGTGGCTTCGTAAGAAGCATTTCAAGGTCCTGGAGTGGCCTAGCCAGTCTCCAGATCTCAACACCATAGAAAATATTTTGAGGGAGTTGAAAGTCCCAAAACATCACTGCTCTAAAGGAGATCTGCATGGAGGAATGGGCCAAAATACCAGCAACAGTGTATGAAAACCTTGTGAAGACTTACAGAAAACGTTTGACCTGTGTCATTGCCAACAAAGGGTATATAACAAAGTATTGAGAAACTTTTGTTATTGACTAAATACTTATTTTCCACCATAATTTGCAAAATAAATTCATTAAAAATCCTACAATGTGATTTTCTGGATTTTTTTTCCTCATTTTGTCTGTCATAGTTGACGTGTACCTATGATGAAAATTACAGGCCTCTCTCATCTTTTTAAGTGGGAGAACATGCACAATTGGTGGCTGACTAAATACTTTTTTTCCCCATTGTATATAAATAGAGACTTAGGGCCTGTCTCATTATCAGTGGGTAATGAACATTTTGGAACACATTTCTTCGTAAAAATGTATTTTATTCCATTTTAAAAGCGCACCCAACAAATATTTAAGTGGTGTTAACACCATTTCCTGGGTGTTGTCATGACGATGTGTCTCTGTGCAGGAAACTCCCTGTCGGCCATATTGGACGGAGAGGCTCGGCTCACCTTCCTCAACAGAGGAGAAGACTACGTCATGAACATGCCCTACGCCCACTGCAAAGGTCTGACCTCTTTTACTGGCTGGAGTCTTACTGTGAAAGCTACACACGCTGCATTAATACCCTTATAATGTTATATGCCCACCAAATGTTATTTGCAAGCATACCAGGGTTGGGCTCAATTCAAATTGATTTTTCAGGAAGTAAACTGAAATTCCAATTCAATAATTAAAAAGAGTCAATCTATTTTTAATGACTTCTTAATAAACTGAAAAGGAGAAGCTATTTATGTCAGAAGTTTAAAACATTTTTGATTTTAAATTCAAATCACTTCCTGAATTGACTTGAGCCCAACCCTGAAGCATACACGTCCCTTTCTTCTTCATGGGAAGTACAGTCAACCTTACTTCTCTAGTCATACAGACTGACTGGAAAGTACAGAACTGGAGTACTGTAAATATACTTCACTACTAACTGAATCGGTCCTGATTGGCACACTACCAGGATTGGAGTCAATACCATTTCATTTCAGTCAATATAAAAGTAATGGGGAACATTGGAATCAGAATTTCACTTTACTTCCTGAATGGAATTCATTTAAATGGAATAGACCCTAACACTGCACTCTACTGTAGTGTATACTAACTATCCTCCCTCTGTAGGGTACCATCTCTACTGTAGTGTATACTAACTATCCTCCCTCTGTAGGGTACTATCTCTACTGTAGAGTATACTAACTATCCTCCCTCTGTAGGGTACTATCTCTACTGTAGTGTATACTAACTATCCTCCCTCTGTAGGGTACCATCTCTACTGTAGTGTATACTAACTATCCTCCCTCTGTAGGGTACCATCTCTACTGTGCTGTATACTAACTATCCTCCCTCTGTAGGGTACTATCTCTACTGTAGTGTATACTAACTATCCTCCCTCTGTAGGGTACTATCTCTACTGTAGTGTATACTAACTATCATCCCTCTGTAGGGTACCATCTCTACTGTGCTGTATACTAACTATCCTCCCTCTGTAGGGTACCATCTCTACTGTAGTGTATACTAACTATCCTCCCTCTGTAGGGTACCATCTCTACTGTAGTGTATACTAACTATCCTCCCTCTGTAGGGTACTATCTCTACTGTAGTGTATACTAACTATCCTCCCTCTGTAGGGTACCATCTCTACTGTAGTGTATACTAACTATCCTCCCTCTGTAGGGTACCATCTCTACTGTAGTGTATACTAACTATCCTCCCTCTGTAGGGTACCATCTCTACTGTAGTGTATACTAACTATCCTCCCTCTGTAGGGTACCATCTCTACTGTAGTGTATACTAACTATCCTCCCTCTGTAGGGTACCATCTCTACTGTAGTGTATACTAACTATCCTCCCTCTGTAGGGTACCATCTCTACTGTAGTGTATACTAACTATCCTCCCTCTGTAGGGTACCATCTCTACTGTAGTGTATACTAACTATCCTCCCTCTGTAGGGTACCATCTCTACTGTAGTGTATACTAACTATCCTCCCTCTGTAGGGTACCATCTCTACTGTAGTGTATACTAACTATCCTCCCTCTGTAGGGTACCATCTCTACTGTAGTGTATACTAACTATCCTCCCTCTGTAGGGTACCATCTCTACTGTAGTGTATACTAACTATCCTCCCTCTGTAGGGTACCATCTCTACTGTGCTGTATACTAACTATCCTCCCTCTGTAGGGTACCATCTCTACTGTAGTGTATACTAACTATCCTCCCTATGTAGGGTACTATCTCTACTGTAGTGTATACTAACTATCCTCCCTCTGTAGGGTACCATCTCTACTGTAGTGTATACTAACTATCCTCCCTCTGTAGGGTACTATCTCTACTGTAGAGTATACTAACTATCCTCCCTCTGTAGGGTACTATCTCTACTGTAGAGTATACTAACTATCCTCCCTCTGTAGGGTACCATCTCTACTGTAGAGTATACTAACTATCCTCCCTCTGTAGGGTACTATCTGTAGTGTATACTAACTATCCTCCCTCTGTAGGGTACCATCTCTACTGTAGTGTATACTAACTATCCTCCATCTGTAGGGTACTATCTCTACTGTAGAGTATACTAACTATCCTCCCTCTGTAGGGTACCATCTCTACTGTAGTATATACTAACTATCCTCCCTCTGTAGGGTACTATCTCTACTGTAGAGTATACTAACTATCCTCCCTCTGTAGGGTACCATCTCTACTGTGCTGTATACTAACTATCCTCCCTCTGTAGGGTACCATCTCTACTGTGCTGTATACTAACTATCCTCCCTCTGTAGGGTACCATCTCTACTGTAGTGTATACTAACTATTCTCCCTCTGTAGGGTACCATCTCTACTGTGCTTTATACTAACTATCCTCCCTCTGTAGGGTACCATCTCTACTGTGCTGTATACTAACTATCCTCCCTCTGTAGGGTACCATCTCTACTGTAGAGTATACTAACTATCCTCCCTCTGTAGGGTACCATCTCTACTGTAGAGTATACTAACTATCCTCCCTCTGTAGGGTACCATCTCTACTGTAGTGTATACTAACTATCCTCCCTCTGTAGGGTACCAACTCTACTGTAGAGTATACTAACTATCCTCCCTCTGTAGGGTACCATCTCTACTGTGCTGTATACTAACTATCCTCCCTCTGTAGGGTACCATCTCTACTGTAGTGTATACTAACTATCCTCCCTCTGTAGGGTACTATCTCTACTGTAGAGTATACTAACTATCCTCCCTCTGTATGGTACCATCTCTACTGTAGTGTATACTAACTATCCTCTCTCTGTAGGGTACCATCTCTACTGTAGTGTATACTAACTATCCTCCCTCTGTAGGGTACCATCTCTACTGTAGAGTATACTAACTATCCTCCCTCTGTAGGATACCATCTCTACTGTAGTGTATACTAACTATCCTCCCTCTGTAGGGTACCATCTCTACTGTAGAGTATACTAACTATCCTCCCTCTGTAGGGTACCATCTCTACTGTAGAGTATACTAACTATCCTCCCTCTGTAGGGTACTATCTCTACTGTAGAGTATAATAGCTATCCTCGCTCTCTAGGGTACTATCTCTACTGTAGAGTATACTAACTATCCTCCCTCTGTAGGGTACCATCTCTACTGTAGAGTATACTAACTATCCTCCCTCTGTAGGGTACCATCTCTACTGTGCTGTATACTAACTATCCTCCCTCTGTAGGGTACCATCTCTACTGTAGTGTATACTAACTATCCTCCCTCTGTAGGGTACCATCTCTACTGTAGAGTATACTAACTATCCTCCCTCTGTAGGGTACCATCTCTACTGTAGAGTATACTAACTATCCTCCCTCTGTAGGGTACTATCTCTACTGTAGAGTATACTAACTATCCTCCCTCTGTAGGGTACCATCTCTACTGTAGTGTATACTAACTATCCTCCCTCTGTAGGGTACCATCTCTACTGTAGTGTATACTAACTATCCTCCCTCTGTAGGGTACTATCTCTACTGTAGTGTATACTAACTATCCTCCCTCTGTAGGGTACCATCTCTACTGTAGAGTATACTAACTATCCTCCCTATGTAGGGTACTATCTCTACTGTGCTGTATACTAACTATCCTCCCTCTGTAGGGTACCATCTCTACTGTAGTGTATACTAACTATCCTCCCTCTGTAGGGTACCATCTCTACTGTAGTGTATACTAACTATCCTCCCTCTGTAGGGTACCATCTCTACTGTAGTGTATACTAACTATCCTCCCTCTGTAGGGTACCATCTCTACTGTAGAGTATACTAACTATCCTCCCTCTGTAGGGTACCATCTCTACTGTAGAGTATACTAACTATCCTCCCTCTGTAGGGTACCATCTCTACTGTAGTGTATACTAACTATCCTCCCTCTGTAGGGTACCATCTCTACTGTAGTGTATACTAACTATCCTCCCTCTGTAGGGTACCATCTCTACTGTAGTGTATACTAACTATCCTCCCTCTGTAGGGTACCATCTCTACTGTAGTGTATACTAACTATCCTCCCTCTCTTAGGCATTCTGTATGGCACCATGACTCTGGAGCTGGCTGGCCAGATCACCATCGCCTGTGAGAAGACGGGCTACAGTGCCCAGCTCGAGTTCAAACTCAAGGTAGGAGGAAATAACTTGTTCTTTAGCTACAATCATTTAGCTTTTAGTCTTTAATTAACAAGAACTTCAAATTGCGTCAGGCAGTTTTAGTGCTTGAAACTGTAATTAATCGTTACATGGGGGTGTTGCCAACCCTCCTCTTGGAGTGCTACAGTACTCACCTGCAGGCTTTTGCTCCAGCCCAAATGGAGCACACCTGATTCTACTAATTACAGTTGAAGTCGGAAGTTTACATACACCTTAGCAAAATACATTTAAACTCAGTTTTTCACAATTCGTGACATTTAATCCTAGTAGGTCAGTTAGGATCACCACTTTATTTTAAGAATGTGAAATGTCAGAATAATAGTAGAGAGAATGATTTATTTCAGCTTTTATTCCCAGTGGGTGAGAAGTTTACATACACTCCATTAGTATTTGGTAGCATTGCCTTTAAATTGTTTAACTTGGGTCAAACGTTTTGGGTAGCCTTCCACAAGCTTCCCACAATAAGTTTGGTGAATTTCGGCCCATTCCTCCTGACAGAGCTGGTGTAACTGAGTCAGGTTTGTAGGCCTCCTTGCTCGCACACGCTTTTTCAATTCTGCCCACACATTTTCTATACGATTGAGGTCAGGGCTTTGTTATGGCCACTCCAATACCTTGACTTTGTTGTCCTCAAGCCATTTTGCCACAACTTTGGAAGTATGCTTGGGTTCGTTGTCCATTTGGAAGACCCATTTGCGACCAAGCTTTAACTTCCTGACTGATGTCTTGAGATGTTGCTTCAATATATCCACATCATTTTCCTTCCTCATGATGCCATCTATTTTGTGAATTGCACCAGTCCCTCCTGCAGAAAAGCACCCTCACAGCATGATGCTGCCACCCCCGTGCTTCACGGTTGGGATGGTGTTCTTCGGCTTGCAAGCAACCCCCTTTTTCTTCCAAACATACCGATGGTCATTATGGCCAAACAGTTCTATTTTTGTTTCATCAGACCAGAGGACATTTCTCCAAAAAGTACGATCTTTGTCCCCATGTGCAGTTGCAAACTGTAGTCTGGCTTTTTTGTGGCGGTTTTGGAGCAGTGGCTTCTTCCTTGCTGAGCTGCCTTTCAGGTTATGTCAATATAGGACTAGTTTTACTGTGGATATAGATACTTTTGTACCTGTTTCCTCCAGCATCTTCACAAGGTACTTTGCTGTTGTTCTGGGATTGATTTGCACTTTTCGCACCAAAGTACGTTCATCTCTAGGAGACAGAACGCGTCTTCTTCCTGAGTGGTATGACGGCTGTTCCCATGGTGTTTATACTTCTGTACTATTGTTTGTACAGATGAACGTGGTACCTTCAGGCATTTGGAAATTGCTCCCAAGGATGAACCAGACTTGTGGAGGTCTACCATTTTCTTTCTGAGGTCTTGGCTGATTTCTTTTGATTTTCCCATGATGTCAAGCAAAGAGGCACTGAGTTTGAAGGTAGGCCTTGAAATACATCCACAGGTACACGTCCAATTGACTCAAATGATGTCAATTAGCCTATCAGAAGCTTCTAAAGCCATGACATCAGCTGTTTAAAGGCACAGTCAACTTAGTGTATGTAAACTTCTGACCCACTGGAATTGTGATACAGTGAATTATAAGTGAAATAATCTGTCTGTAAACAATTGTTGGAAAAATTACTTGAGTCATGCACAAAGTAGATGTCTTAACTGACTTGCCAAAACTATAGTTTGTTAACAAAAAATTTGTGGAGTGGTTGAAAAACGAGTTTTAATGACTCCAACCTAAGTGTATGTAAACTTCCGACATCAACTGTAGCTGCTCAACAGGACCTTGATTAGCTGATCAGGTGTTTTACAGTGGGGTTGGAACGAAAGCCTGCATATCCAGTACCTATCTGAGAGGAGGGTTGACAGACCACCCCTGTGCTACATCTTGAACTTCAAAACAAACACCAATACCAATGTGATGAATACTCCTTTCTGTAACACTTTATTTTACAGCCTTCTACTTACCAGGTAATACTTAGATAGTACTTGTTGAAGTGGTAGTTACTGTACATAGAGTAATAGTATAGTTAGATTAGTAGCTATGTACAAAGTGGTTTCTTTTGAGATACAAGCATCAATATGTACCATTTGGTACCAGGTAGTTACCAAGAGTGTTGGATTCTTTGAGGGCGTTACCAGAAATGTTCCATTGGTGCCATGTAACATGGTTACCATGTCTCCACTTTGTTGCCATGTAACATGGTTACCATGTGTCCACTTTGTTACCATGTAAATACCAGGTAAGAACCAGGTTAAACAGGGCTGTAACATAAAGCGTCACCCTCCCCCTCTATTTTCAGCCGTTCTTGGGTAACAATGACAGCGTCAACCAGATCTCTGGAAAGATCAAGCTGGGGAAGGAGGTGCTGGCTACACTGGAGGGACACTGGGTAAGTTTGTTATGTATCGAACAGAAGGAAAACCGTCTGAAACAGGGACTAGAAATGCTTATTTTCCTTTTCCGTTGCAAACGTGTGTGCGCTAATGAACATGACCGTGCACTTCCCTTTAACTACCATATGCATTGAAAGAGGATGTATCACTTCTCTATAATTACCATATGCATTGAAAGAGGATGTATCACTTCTCTATAATTACCATATGCATTGAAAGAGGATGTATCACTTCTCTTTAATTACCATATGCATTGAAAGAGGTTGTATCACTTCTCTATAATTACCATATGCATTGAAATAGGTTGTATCACTTCTCTATAGTTACCATATGCATTGAAAGAGGATGTATCACTTCTCTATAACTACCATATGCATTGAAAGAGGATGTATCACTTCTCTTTAACTACCATATGCATTGAAAGAGGATGTATCACTTCTCTATAATTACCATATGCATTGAAAGAGGATGTATCACTTCTCTATAATTACCATATGCATTGAACGAGGTTGTATCACTTCTCTTTAATTACCATATGCATTGAAAGAGGCTGTATCACTTCTCTTTAATTACCGTATGCATTGAAAGAGGATGTATCACTTCTCTATAATTACCATATGCATTGAAAGAGGATGTATCACTTCTCTATAATTACCATATGCATTGAAAGAGGGTGTATCACTTCTCTTTAATTACCATATGCATTGAAAGAGGTTGTATCACTTCTCTTTAATTACCATATTCATTGAAAGAGGATGTATCACTTCTCTTTAATTACCATATGCATTGAAAGAGGGTGTATCACTTCTCTTTAATTACCATATGCATTGAAAGAGGATGTATCACTTCTCTATAATTACCATATGCATTGAAAGAGGATGTATCACTTCTCTATAACTACCATATGCATTGAAAGAGGCTGTATCACTTCTCTATAATTACCATATGCATTGAAAGAGGATGTATCACTTCTCTATAATTACCATATGCATTGAAAGAGGATGTATCACTTCTCTATAATTACCGTATGCATTGAAAGAGGCTGTATCACTTCTCTATAATTACCATATGCATTGAAAGAGGATGTATCGGGTTTTTTAAAGGTTCAAAATTATAGAGGCTGTATCACTTCTCTATAATTACCATATGCATTGAAAGAGGATGTATCGGTTTTTTTAAAGGTTCAAAATTATAGAGGCTGTATCACTTCTCTATAATTACCATATGCATTGAAAGAGGATGTATCACTTCTCTATAATTACCATATGCATTGAAAGAGGATGTATCGGTTTTTTTAAAGGTTCAAAGTGATACAGCCTATATATTTAACCTTCATTTAACTAGGCAAGTCAGTTAAGAACAAATTCTTATTTACAATGACGGCCTACAAAATGGGTTGTTTTCTGCACTAAAGGCCAGACACACTCTTGAATAGATCATGATACTTTTAGTGTGTCAGGGTGGCAGGCTGTGTACAGTATATCATCACCAATATCTTTTTTTATTGGGTTTTCAGCTGGATCCAGCTGGCTTTTACTGTGTTCTCGCTAAGCTGTGCCTCAGACAGACAGACACACAGACAGACACACACATACAGACAGACAGACAGACAGACAGACAGACAGACAGACATGAGTCAGTGTTAGAACCTGACCACTCCTCTGCATAACTATCACCTCAGTCCATTCTATCTGACATCTTCCCCTGCCTTTCTGGGTAATTACCCCAGCCATTAGTGTCACAGGTTTCTGTGAGGGAAATAACAACAGTGTGTGTGTGTGTGTGTTAGCCATGTCCTCAGATCAGTCAATACTGATACAGCTCTCTCAGCCTGTTTGGGTAGACCACCAGATTAGCTGTACCTTAACATCTCTAACAATGGGTGCGTCCCAAATGGTACCCTATTCCCTATATAGTACGCTACTTTTGACCAGGGCCCACAGCCAGGTTATTTTGGTAAGTTAGGGTGATGGACTTTGTGATTGATAAGAAGCAGGGGTTGATGGCAGATAACAGGATGTCAGCCAATTGTGTGAGGGATTGAACGTTTGTCTGGTTGGTGTGTAGGTGTTTTTTTATTTCTGCATGTGTGTGTTTCTCATTTAATGCTTTTTGTCTGAACGTGTGTGTGTGTGCGTGTGTGTGTGCGTGTGTGTGTGTGTGTGTGTGTGTGTGTGTGGTCTAACTGTGTTAACTGGGTCTTCCTGTGTGTCTGGCTCCTCCAGGACAGTGAAGTCTTCATCAACGATAAGAAGACCGGGGTGGTGGATACGTTTTGGAACCCCACCCCAGAGCTACGTCAGAGCAGGCTAACACGCTGCACCGTGCCTCCTGAGGACCAGGGAGACTATGAGTCTGAGAGGTATGAAGGGACAGACAGACTCTTTTCATTCACCTCTCTCCCCTCACTTCATCTCATTCCTTCCCCTCTTTATTCCCCCTCTCTCCCCTCACTTCATCATCTCATTCCTTCCCCTCTTTATTCCTCCTTGTCATTTCCATTTCAACTCAGTCATCACAGAAAGTCAATTGAAATACAAGTAATGGAGAAGAAAGTCCACACAGAAAATAAAATGGGAAAAGGGCAATTTTCACATCTTCTGAGTTAATATTGAAATGGATTTTTGTTTTGTATCCAAAAGAAGCTGCTTATCAGGGAGAGAGTAGAGGGAGAGAGAATAACTCTGTAACTCTGTCTCTCTCGCTCTCTCTCGCTCCCCACTATCTCTTTCTTCCCACCTCTCTTTCTCTCTCTCTACATCTGTCTCTCTCTCTATATGTACTTTTCTAACCCCCACCCTCTCTATCATTCTCTCTCTCTTTTTCTCTCTTTCTCTCTCTCTCTCTCCTCTCACTCTTCCTCTGACTCTCTCTCTCTCCCTCTATCTCCCCCTTTCTCTCTCCCTCCGTCCAGGTTATGGCAGCATGTAACGAGGGCCATCAACAACAAGGACCAGACAGAGGCCACCAATGAGAAGTTTATCCTGGAGGAGGCTCAGAGGAAGTCGGCCCGCGAGCGCAAGGCCAAGTGTGAGGACTGGGCGCCCGGGCTCTTTGAACAGGACCCCGTCACCGGAGAGTGGCATTACAGATATGCCGAGTGAGTGCCTCGTCTCCAATTCACACACTCTATTCCCCATAGGGCTCTGGTCAAAAGTAGTGCACTATATAGGGAATAGGGTGCCATTTGGTTGAAGTCGAGTAGAAGTTACAGTTCTAGGATCAGCTTATCTCCTTCATATTTGTATGTTAGCCATGAGTGGGTGGATTGGGAGACTGACCTTAGATCCACTTCTTCCATTTACCTCCATGTTGATACATTAAAGGAGAGGTTTTATGTAACTACAATGGGTGATTTTATGTAACTACAATGGGTGATTTTATGTAACTACAATGGGTGATTTTATGTAACTACAATGGGTGATTTTATGTAACTACAATGGGTGATTTTATGTAACTACAATGGGTGGTTTTATGTAACTACAATGGGTGATTTTATATAACTACAATGGGTGATATGAATTCTATATTGACAGGCATAGCCAGGAGAAACTGGTTATATTTAACGTTATAGAGATGTTAGACTGTATTAGTTTATCAGTGCTTCCAATATTATGACGAATAAGAGGTAGCATCAAAACCTTGTATGTAAACTCTTTGCAGCTAATGTGAACCCTAGAGCTGATAAACAGGGGGATTGGGACACCTAATGGATGGACTTGGTGTTACAACAGCATGTTGGCATGACTTTACCTCTGCTAATCAATACCAACAGACTGGAATATCTGTTGATGTAATGTTCTCTCTTTCTCTCCTTTCTATGTGTGTGTGTGTGTGTGTGTGTGTGTGTGTGTGTGTGTGTGTGTGTGTGTGTGTGTGTGTGTGTGTGTGTGTGTGTGTGTGTGTGTGTGTGTGTGTATGTGTATGTGTATGTGTATGTGTATGTGTATGTGTATGTGTATGTGTCTGTGTCTGTGTCTGTGTCTGTGTGTGTGTGTGTGTGTGTGTGTGTCCATCCGCAGCACCCGGCCGTGGGATCCGCTGAATGATATGATTCAGTTTGAGAAAGACGGCTGGATCCAGACTAAAGTGCGGCATCGCACCCCTATGGTACGTTCTGCCAGTGTAATTAGTCTCAGTAACCAGGGCCCAAGGAGGGATGGCAATTGCAAGTGCCAGGTAGGTTGGCCAACCGAACAGCGCTCCCTGAGTTGTTTTTATACTTTTTATACTGTCACCAGCCACCACTGCCGCTTGCGCTAAAAGTCTTCTCCAGCGCCATTCACAACCATCGCCTGTGGCTGCTTCCGTTCCGTGTGGGCCGCGCCGCACTGCCAAGCCTGTTGTCTCTCACCGCCATTTTGTTTTGACTGTTTCCTCACCACCTACCGCCATGTTGGTTGTTGTCATTAGATGATTTCAGGATAATTCTGTTGTCATTTTTAAGAAGGCAGGTTTTTTATGTCTCTATGTGCTGTAATAGGTGTTTAGTTGGTTAGTTTAATTTAAGTTGCAACTGACTGTGTTGTTGGTTGTTTTTGGAGTTTCACTGAATGTGGCCAATCGGCACGCTCGCATGCCTCACACAGCTGTGCTACTGATTAGCATGTGATGCAAGTGTTGTGTGTGTGTGCGTGTCGCGTGTTTGCGTCTCAGTGTTTTTTTCCTAAGTGCAGCTATTTACGTAGTTTCTGTGTGTTCGTTCGTAGGTGTACAAGCGTGTGTGTGCAGTGCGTGAGTGTTTTTGTGTAGGTATCTTTGGTTTTGTCGTCTTCTCTGTGGTGTGTGTGTTGATTTGGTGGCTGGTGTGTGTGGCTCTATATTGATGTGTGTGTCCTTGGTGTGTGTAGGTGACAGGGCCCAAAAGAAAGCAGAAGCACAGTGACAAGCCCAAGAAACCTGAGAGTGGCTGCTCCTCCCCAGAACCTGACCGCCAGGACTCCTCCGGGAGCGAGCGTACGTCACACACACACACACACACACACACACACACACCAACAATATTACAATACCACTCACATTAATACACATACAATCCCAATGCTACAACACAACATCCCTCACACACACACACACACACACACACACACACACACACTCATACACCCCCCCTCACACACACACACACATACACACTCATACACCCCCCCTCACACACACACATACACCACACACACACACACCCCCCACACACTCATACACCCCCCCCCCCCCCCCCCCCCCCCCCCCCACACACACACACACACACATGCTTCATACCCATACAGGATTATAACATCTCTTTAGACAGGTTATTAAGGATACTCATGATGTAATAAGTTGACTTTAACAATTGCTTCCTCCATTTGTTATTCATTGCGTTAAAGTAACTGTCCAGTGTTTCCAGATTTCTATGAAATAGGACCTATAATTACTTATGATTGCAATATGAGTGAAATAGTTTTCCTTCCAAAAATGTTTTATTCATTATGTTAAAAAGCAGCTTTTCTGTGTTGGAATGGTGTGGGGCGAACCCCAACAACAGAATGGTGTGGGCCTACCCCAACAACAGAATGGTGTGGGGCGAACCCCAACAACAGAATGGTGTGGGTCTACCCCAACAATAGAATGGTGTGGGCCTACCCCAACAACAGAATGGTGTGGGCCTACCCCAACAACAGAATGGTGTGGGCCTACCCCAACAACAGAATGGTGTGAGCCTACCCCAACAACAGAATGGTGTGGGCCTACCCCAACAACAGAATGGTGTGGGCCTACCCCAACAACAGAATGGTGTGGGTCTACAGTATGGATACCGGTCGTACAAAATAGTCAACAGAGCGAGTAGACCGCTGATTGGCCAGCTCATCCTCCTCAGGAGTATGACATCATACTCCTGTTTGAGGTTTTCATCTGTTTGAGGTTTTCAAAGTGTTTTTTACTCCAATTTATTCTTTAGCCACAAATACGAGTATAGGACGAGTCAACAACATTATTTGGGTATGAATTAACTGAATATTAACTTTTAATAGTGAGATTTTCACTGGACAGTTACTTTAACATTTGTTATTGACTCTATGTTACAGCTGATTGTTGCTGTTTCTGTATTTCAGGACACAAAAGCAAGCACAGTAGCCGGTTAAGGAAAAAGGGCCCAGACCTTAGTGAACTTCAAAGTGCCATTGATTCTATAAAGAAGACACAGGAGAACATTTACAAGTGAGGGTCGTTTAAACATGGGACATTGAGTGTGTGTGTGTTTGTGCGTATGGTCATTGAGTGAGTGAGGATGCAATTGTTCCCGACTTATGCATTGTTTGTGGTTGTGTATAGAATTCATGTGAGTGACCTCACTATCCCTGTCTGTGTGTGTGTGCGTGCGTACGTCTCCAGGAGCATTGGCGTGCTACGCAACCGAGCGGCGGGCCAGACAGCGGTAGAGGGCGGCTTCCTGCAGCAGCGCGACTACGCCATCATCATCCTCCTCATCCTTCTTCAGGTCTTCATCAACTTCCTGTTCAAGTAGCAGGTGACAGACTGACAGAGAGAGAGAGAGAGATGGAGAGAGAGAGACACAGGACTGATGGGGTTTGGCCAGGCTAAGGAGGAGAAACAGACTGGAAGTGAATGAACTACAAGAGCCTCCAATAGCTCTGCCCCAACCCTCTCTCTCTTTCTCTGTCTCCATACTGAGTTGACCCTGCTCCACTGTCCTCAGACGGGCCACCATTGTCACACACACAAACGTCTCAAAAGCAAGCATTCCTGAAAAAGAGGCTCCACAAAAAAAGGACACTTGTTTTTAATTTCAATTTATTTTTACCTGATTTAAAGATCCACGTATTTTAAAAGGGGGGCGACCGGCCAGGACTGAAGGGAAGGTGAGGCCAGCGTCAGGATGTTCACAACTGGGCCTTGGAGTAGGCATTGACGTGTGGTGGCCATTGTTTTTAATTTTGCTAACGGACACCGCTCCTTGCATTTCACCTTGTCCCCCGTTTCACCCGGCTCCCCAACTACAGGGAACATTTTACACTGAGACTTTTGAAGAAAAATGACTTCTGTTAATTATTATTTTTTTTTAATACTTCATTTGTTTTGTTTGTCCTTTGTGAATAGAACCTCTACTTTAAAAAAAAAAGTCAGATAAAGGAGAAGAACATTTTTATGTGGTCCAATATATGTGACGTTCTGTTGAAGCTTTGATACGGCTTGAGTTTCCCAACTTGAAGGTGAATCGGCAAGAAAAGGAAAAATAAAGTAATTGCAACTTTTTTTTTTAAAGCTATAAGAATAACTTCCTGAATCACGTTTTATTCATCATTGGAATCAATCGATTTGAATCGTTCCGCTCACATTTGTATACAAGGTAAATTGTATAAACTAGATGCTTGACATGAATTGTTGCTGTGTGGTTAACATGTACAGTACAATGAATGTTCAGTTGACACACTTACCCTATGGCGTCTTAACATTACTATGACACCTAGTAGACAGTAGGGTCCCTAGAGAGGAGGCTGTTAATATACTTTAGTAGTTGCCACTGTCAGCCACTCAGAAATCAACTAGATGTAATGAAAATCTGCCAAATGCAGTATGTTAGGTGTAGAATAAGCCGTCAGTCAACTTCCAGTGTACATAGCTAATAGACTGACTCACTCACAGCAGTTTTGTGTTCTTTCCAAAAGAGACGTTCTTTCACACAGACAGACCCTCTGGCGTTATTATCAATACCCTATTACCTCTGTGTCTTCGTGGGCCGCCCGCTCTGTGTGTGTCTGTCATCATCACCTCGTCACTGTCGTTCACTTCATCCAAACCAGACGTTTAGAATGTGGTCACAAGAAAACAACACCAGTGCCTTCTAGAGTGGGGGGGGGGGTGGCTGGGGGTTTGGGGCTAATGAGGGGAGTTAGGGGTGGGGTGGGACTGGGGTTTTGGAGGGTGGGTGGATGTTTGGGGCTAACGGGGGGTTAGGGATGGGGTGGGGATGGAGGTTTGGAGGGTGGGTGGATGTTTGGGGCTAATGGGGTGGGGATGGAGGTTTGGAGGGTGGGTGGATGTTTGGGGCTAATGGGGTGGGGATGGAGGTTTGGAGGGTGGGTGGATGTTTGGGGCTAACGGGGGAGGTAGGGATGGGGAGGGGTGGGGACAGTGAGAGGGTAGGTGGGGGTACAGTAGAAGTTTAAGGGGGAGCTATAGCCAGTGTTTTGGAGTGGTTGTGCCATATCAAGCCTTAGAGAAGAGTCCTGCTAGGCCCTTCCCAGCATTGCCATGGTTACACCACTGTGGGAATTCCGGAAGCTGATTCCTGCCACTTGGAGAGAGGAGGTTATCTCTCCGAATCATCTCTCCATCTATCCTCTCTCTTTCTCTCACTCTCTCTTCACGAGGCACCAAAACCAGGGGAACAACGTGTCTCCTCTTCCTTGTCATTGTTCATTGTCTTGTAATAAAATGAAAATCGCTTTCTATTTTTTGTGGCACATTTTCGCTTGCTCCATTGTTTTGTTTTTCCTTACTTTTCAATACTGATTTATACAGACGATGCCGCTGATATGATTCTGTTCCCTGTCGTTTTGCGGTCACAAAGAGGGACCCCTTGTTGACTTGTGTTCATTGTCATAATACCTTGGCTGCATCCCAAATGGCACCCTATTCCCAATATAGTGCACTACTTTTGACCAGAGCCCTAAAAGTACAAATAAAAGTAGTGCACTATATAGAGATTAGGGTGCCATTTGGGATGCGTCCCCGGTCTCTCTGTACCCGGACGTATTTATTTGTATGACAATAACACCTTCCTGAAAGTTATGTCGTCACATGTAACACATCCCCAAATAAAATCTAAATGACGTCTTTATTGTCTTGTCTGTATGTGGCCAATCAACTATAAAACCTCTAGTCAGTGAACTATGTTGCCGGTCAGCTAGAAACACACACTTTGGTGAACTAATTTGAGGGATGATATGTTTAAGCAATAAGGCACGAGGGGGTGTGGTATATGGCCAATATACCACGGCTAAGGGCTGTTCTTAGGGACGACGCAACGCACAAACCCCCGAGGTGCCTTATTGCTGTTATAAACTGGTTACCAATGTAATTAGAGCTTTCAAATAATTTTTTTGTCATACCCGTGGTATATGGTCTGATATACCACGGCTGTCAGCCAATCAGCATTCGGGGCTCGAACCACCCAGTTTATAATCTGTAATAGACCATGTACTGGAGTCTGTGAACCTAAACTAAATGATATATTACAACTCTAGGATCTCTGTGAGACAAAGACTGGGAGGGAGGATGACTGAGAAAATGATCATGAGAACAGAACATGTATTTAGTGTTTTTTTTTTAAACTGTGTTTGTTCTGCTTCTGTTTCCTTGCTGTGTTATTTTCGCCTGGAAGCCAAATGGGATATCCATCCGCTGTAGACAGGAGTTCTGTGGAAGCTGCTAGAACACCTTTCTGGATAGCCAATCAGATGGCTGTCATCACTAGAGGGCAAAGGTTAAATCTCTCCTTTCTCCACTGCTCAGACCATTGGCCTGGTATAACCCACCTCTAGACATGCAGTCCCTCATCATTGCATTTGCCAGAGATGATTATGTGTCCGACACAACTGCCACAACTATTCACTCAGGTGCAAGTTTATTTATTTTTATTTAACCTTCATTTTATAATGGAGTCATATCAAGATCTCTTTTACAGATGAGCCCTGAATTACATAAATTACAGAAAATACACCCATCAAGGAAAGGACACCAGAAAAGGAAGCCACTTTAGGAGTATTAGGACCAGTGGCGACCTGTTATTCAGGGCGGAGCCCCACCTCTTTCGAGCCCCACCTGTTTAGCCAAAAAAAATAGCAATTCATTTTGGCATTAATTCATGTCACATATCAGTTTGCAAACAATGTAAAAAATATATATAGATATATTGAGTTAATAAAGTAAGGCAGCTCCAAAATGCAGGTGTTTAAGTCTAGCTCAGTGCTTTCTGTGGTGGTGGTGGGGCAAGCCAGCGAAAAATACAGAGCATAGGCGTTGGTAATCTTCTCTAGTTGCTCCGTGTTTGGCTCAGTGTTCTGTCACTCATGGGGACACTAGGTCACCGCAGAATCTGCAAAGAGAGAGCTAGGCAGTTCAAGCCCCGTTGGGTGCTGCCATAGATTTACAGTAGAAATGCCGTCCAAGAAGACTCAAGGTCGTTGGCCACAGATAAAATTACGTCAAAACACGTTATATCTACCACAGCTTTGATTGGACTGATCATGTTGCTTTCAAAATCTTACCTTGCAAGCTAGACAAGCAGTCATCATCATGAATCACGTCGACAATCTACGGGCAAATCCTTATCATATGAAGATAAATTATAGTCGGAAATCGCAAATTCATTTGGAAGGAATCCGTGGCTAACTGCAAGCTTTGCAAAGCAATCACTATTTTGCTTCCCCTGCCTGCTATTTGGTGGAGAGGGTTTGTGGTCCAAGTCTGGGCTTAAGGATTTAAAACATCTGTCTGATATGGTCTCTTTTCCAAGCTTAAAAGGATAAACATTCACTCGACCTTGTTTTTTTTCCGAGTTCCCAGTTGTCTTGAAAGCAAATTTGATGACCAAATTTGCCCACAAGAAGGACCGCCGTGCCACCTTCCTGTTCAAGTGAGCACAGCACAACAACGGTGATTCCAAAAATGTATCGTATGCTGCTGCATAAATTAGCTGATGCTTTTCTTCACAAGGAGGGGATACTATATAATGTTGTTGGGTCTGTAACCATGAGGAGGGGATACTATATAATGTTGTTGGGTCTAACCATGAGGAGGGGATACTATATAATGTTGTTGGGTCTAACCATGAGGAGGGGATACTATATAATGTTGTTGGGTCTAACCATGAGGAGGGGATACTATATAATGTTGTTGGGTCTAACCATGAGGAGGGGATACTATATAATGTTGTTGGGTCTGTAACCATGAGGAGGGTATACTATATAATGTTGTTGGGTCTGTAACCATGAGGAGGGGATACTATATAATGTTGTTGGGTCTGTAACCATGAGGAGGGGATACTATATAATGTTGTTGGGTCTGTAACCATGAGGAGGGGATACTATATAATGTTGTTGGGTCTGTAACCATGAGGAGGGGATACTATATAATGTTGTTGGGTCTGTAACCATGAGGAGGGGATACTATATAATGTTGTTGGGTTTGTAACCATGA